GCCCACCGCCGTCCGCGCCCCCCGTCTTCCCCCCAGTGGAGCGGGGCAGAGCCCCCGCGGAGCCGACGCACCGCCGCCGGGCAGGGGAGGGCACGCAGGGGGGGAGCGGGGCCGTCCTTGCCCTCAGCCTCGCCCCCATCCCTGAGTGGCTGTCAATCCGCCAAACGAGCAGTCGGATTGGCTAAGGGGAGGCGGTTGCCCAGGAGCCGCCACCCCACCCCTCCGCCCCCTCGCCCGCCCCCCGGTACTCCCCCGCCCTCCCCAGGGCCCTGGGAAGGGGCGCAGCGTGGGAAAGGGATGGTTGAGTTTTAACCGGAGGCAGAGAGTGAGCGGGGATCAGTGTGTGCGGAACGCGAGCAGCCGAGCGCGGAGAGGCGCCGCTGCCGTTAACTCCTCCCTGCCCGCTGGTCCGACCCTCCCCCGGAGCCCCCTGCGCAGCCAGCATGAAGCGAGCCCACCCAGAATACAGTTCCTCGGATAGCGAGCTGGACGAGACCATCGAGGTGGAAAAAGAGAGTGCAGACGAGAATGGGTGAGTTGGCGGCGACTGAGTGAAGCCTGACCGGGAGGAGAGCGGCCGCTGGCGGCTGTGACAGCGGCCGCGGGCCGGGGCGCACCAGTGCCCTGCGCTGACCTCTGCACGCAGCGGACCAGCCCCCTCCAGGGCTATGAGACCCGAGGCGCTTTCAAGCCCCAATTGCCAAAACAATCGACATGCAGAGAGTACGTGTGGGCGACCTCTCAGCTCTATCCTCATGTAATGACGATTTCTGTATTCCTTTCCCTTCCATTTCAGAAACTTGAGTTCGGCGCTAGGTTCCATGTCCCCTACTACGTCTTCGCAGATCTTGGCCAGGAAAAGACGGAGAGGCGTGAGTTTTTTAAAAAATGCTCTGTTCTTGTTGTTTGTTGGTAATAACGGAAGAATCACCTTTCTGCTCTTTGAAAATTACAGCCGTAATCGAAATGTCTGCCTTTGTTTTGCCTGTTTCCTATAGATCATTGAGAAGCGTAGACGAGACCGGATCAATAACAGTTTGTCAGAGCTGAGGAGGCTGGTCCCCAGTGCTTTTGAGAAGCAGGTAATGGAGAGAGTAGGTAGAGCTCTTGGTATAGCTGCTTGCACCTTCGGAAGAGCCCTCCTCCCAATTATCTTGATCCTCATCAATGTCTTGGAAAATAGACGTGTGTCGAGGAGATTAATTCATACCCAGTATATTTGCCAAGACCGCTTATTTTGCTTTAACACGCACTTGACAATTTAGAAAACTCTCCTGCAGATACGTTTTGTTTCGTTTCTGCCCCCCCCCGTCTTCCCCCCCCACCAAGTTGTCCTCCGAAAGGCATTTGCTGCCAAATCATTCTTGCTATTCTCTTTTCTAGGGATCAGCTAAACTAGAAAAAGCCGAGATCCTGCAGATGACTGTGGATCACTTGAAGATGCTGCACACCGCAGGAGGGAAAGGTACACCTCAAAGCTGGGGTGTGGGATCAGAGCGGCTGAGGTAGATTGAGATTAGGGCTGCAGGCCAGGATGGGTTCAGTTGGTGCCTGATTTTTACCCTCAGTTTTGGGAGTGAGGAGGAGTCCTATGCCAATACCTTTTCAAATTCACGCAGATTTTTCTCCAGTGAGTTCATTGCCTCGTGACTCTGCACGTTAAGCTAGTGCACAGTGAACATAGAGCGCCTTCCTTTGCAAAATGCCTTTTATCTGTGAGTTGCCTTAAAGTTGTGACAGCCTTGATTCACATCAGGCAGCTTTTTTTCACGTTTGTTGCAATTTTGAGAAAAAGCTTCCCCCCCCTTTTTTGAAGTCGATGGTCTTGATTTTACATGCAAGGTTTCCCAAATGAGCTGCCTCATTTGTAGACTCTTGAGGAAAGGAACTCGTGGTTAAGTAAGACCAAGGACTGTGTGTCTGTCTCCAGCCGGAAAATGCTTTACGGAGGACCAAGCTCCACGATGATAACTTACATCTGTGTGTCTAATGAATTTCACTGCTCTGTGGTTTCTCTGTCCTTGATGTATTTTTTGTTGTTGTTGAGGGAAAACATTAAAGGAATGAATATAGTTTCATCTGCGAGCAGGGTATAATTCCAATTTCTGCTTGGCAGCTTCTAATTGGACTTTGAACTTACATTAGCATACGCACACTGCTCATGTTGATTAATGCAGAGAATTTGGTTGATTCCAAAACACTGGGATTTTTCAGAGGAACGCGTGACCGCGTGTTTTATTGATGTTGGTATTTGCCAGGAAGGGGCTGTCTTGAGCCTGAAGAAATGAGGGAAATGATTAAGAGCAAAGCTCTGACTGAGGCTTTTTCCTTTTGTTCTTTCCCCGCAGGCTATTTTGACGCGCACGCGCTGGCAATGGACTACCGGAGTTTGGGGTTTCGGGAATGCCTGGCAGAAGTAGCCCGTTACTTGAGCATCATCGAAGGATTAGACGCCTCTGACCCCCTTCGAGTTAGACTGGTCTCCCATCTCAACAACTATGCCTCTCAGCGGGAAGCTGCGAGCAGCGCGCACGCCGGCCTTGGACACATTCCCTGGGGGGGCGCCTTCGGACATCATCCGCACATCGCGCACCCCCTCTTGCTCCCCCAGACTGGCCACGGGAACGCGGGCACCACGGCCTCGCCCACGGAACCACCGCACCAGGGCAGGTTGGCCTCCACGCATCCCGAGGCTCCCGCCCTGCGCGCGCCCCCTACCGGCGGGCTTGGACCGGTGCTCCCAGTGGTCACCTCCTCTTCCAAACTCTCTCCGCCTCTGCTCTCCTCAGTGGCCTCCCTATCCTTCCCCTTCTCTTTTAGCTCCTTCCACTTACTCTCTCCCAATGCACTGAGCCCTTCAGCACCCTCGCAGGCAGCAAATCTTGGCAAGCCCTATAGACCTTGGGGGACGGAGATTGGAGCTTTTTAAAGAACTGATGCTGTAGAAAGGGGGAAGCGAAAGTTTAAAATCCCAGCTGAGCTGGACTATTGCCAACATCACCTTAAAGTCGTCAGTAAAAGTAAAAAAGAAAAAGGTACACTTTCAGATAAACTTTGTTTAAAGGACAAAAGGTTTGTTGGGTTTTTTTAAAAAAAATTAATCTGGATTTTTTTTAAATTGTCATGTATTAGCAGTTTTTAAAAACTAGTTGCTGAATTTTGTTCAAAACATCAAATTGGAATAGTATAAGCCAATACTTTGTTATAGCTTTGTAAACATAGTTGTCTAAGAATAATTCAGTTTTGCCTTGGAGTTGTGGGATTTTTAACATTTTTAAGTCTGTTTTTCTCCCTCTGTAGTTTTGGTTTGTTTGTAGAATTATTATTTTTATTTTCACCAAGCCACTGTGTTCAATGTTAACAATTCTATTCGTTAATATTTTGACAGATTAGGATGTTGTATAAATAATGTTCTTTTCTTTTTGAGAGGGAACTCTACTGAATTTTATATTTCTGAACAAAGCGTTGACAAATCAGATGATCAGCTTTACCCAAGATATAAGTCTAGTCAATTCCCTGCCTCCTGCAGCAGCAAGGTGAATGTACTAACCACCAGTGGCCCTGGATCCATGTGACCCAACTGCTGGCTCTACTGGAATTCAAGTTCTGGCTTAACTGAGAGAACCAGCCCCTGGCAGGGTAGGGCTCCAATAGAATATTGGTGGGGAATGAGGTAATTGCAGAGAATACCTATAATTGCTAGCCCCAAGAAAGGCAATGAATTTTTAATCTGATCAACCTCAGATTCACAGTATGGATCACGGTATACAAGTGGTCAGTTAAGTACAGTGGAACCTGTTAAATGCATAAGCTAATTATCCTGGCACTGCCAGATTTCCTTTTAACTGGAAACTTTTATGTTGTGTTTTCATTTCAGTGCATGGGACTGTGGCTGTTGAGGTATTTAAAAGGGCCCAGCTGCCCTATCCTCTTTGGTTTATTTAATTTGATTCAGGCTATGAAAGTATCATTTCACTGGTTTATTCCTTTAGCAGGTATAGTTTAAATGACCTCCACTGAACTGGGTTTGACCGCTATTGTACTGATGTGTTGTGATGAAATAAAATAGAACAAATTATTCTACTGTACATGTCTTGCCTACCTTGGCCTTTCTATTTTTTAGTTAAAAAAAAATAGAGTATTTTCCTTCCTGTTTCGGTTTTGCAGATTTCCTTTTGGAATTCTAAAGTGTATGTATCTTTGCTGTTGAATAAGGGAATAGCATTACTACGTAGAGTTTTGGTGTGACTTCCATAAGCAGATACTTTTAGCCATTATATCAAATGATGTGACCCTGAAGTGGTCCTTTGTGGACAAAGACAAGCTCAGATCAGACTGAGTTTTGCAAGAGTGGTGAAGAACGTGATGAAATCTTAGAACATTACGTAAACTAATGTTTATTGAAACTACCTATTGTGTGTTCAAAAATATATTTGGTTTTTTTTTTAAGGCAAATCGCCTCCCAAACCCCCAAACCTTGTTATCTGAGCCCCCATGCAGGAGCTCGGGGGAAACTGGCGTGATGAGTAGTGGCAGGCTGTAATTTCGCACCTGCACAGCGCCAGGAGTCTTCCCTTGTCTTATTTGCAAGGAATTTGCTTAACCCTTTAGTTGCATTTGCTGCCTGAGGAAGCTGACATTCTGTGTTAGAATAAAACTGTGCAAGAGCAGAGGCAGCCATAGGAGCCTTAGGGGAAAGGGTGCCTACCTGTGCCTTGAAGGTCATTCTCCTACCAATGAAGGAAAGTCATTGACAAGCATGAGTCCTGGTAGTAGAAGGCCTAGAAGGTTTGCCTGGTAACTGAGACATTGGCAGTTCAAGCATACCTGCTACTCCAAGGAAGAAGGATATAGCGCTCTACTTCCATAATGATTTAGTCTTGGGCTCCACATGGAGGCAATTTGTAGGGTTGAAACAAGTTAGGACTGACTCGATTGCAATGTATTTTGATTTGGAATCCATTGGAGCCACAGGGCTATTTCTTAGCTGGGTAGGAGTTTGCCTTGCTCATGAGAGTGAAACGATGGAGGGAGAGCAATCTAGCTCTGGCAGATGACAGAAAAGAAAGAAGGCAAAGTTAAGTTTATACTTACTGTAATACTGACTTCTGAGAGTCTGCAAATGGAATGGGTTGTGTGAGCGTAACCTCCCCTTTTTAAAATTTCATACTGATTTATTTACAAAGTTTGAATATATTGTTTTCACACAAGATCTTTCCCATTTCCTTCACCACCACACATATCAAATTGTGCAACCCTATGATAACAACCCCCCCCCCCGCCCATCCTCACCCCTCTGCTTCCACACTCCCCCTCCTTGGATCCTCATATTCATTCTACAATAAGAGTCTTATTTAATATTTGTCTTTATGGGGCTGAGTTAGTTCACTCAGCATAATGCTCTCCAGTCCCTCTCAAATTAGGTAGTAATTTACAGAATCATTGCTCCTGCATGTTGCATAGTATTCCATTGTGTGAATGTACCACGACTTCTCAATCCATTTGTTTGTGGTTGGACATTGGGGCTGTTTACATGCCCTTGTGATGGTGAATAACACTGCTATGAATATTGGTGTACAAGTATCTGTTTTCTCGGGGTATATTCCAAAGAAATGGAATAGCTGGGTCATGTGGAATTTCCATGTTCAGCTTTTTGAGGAAACGCCAAACTGCCTTCCAGAATGGTGTGTGCGCTTTTATGATTGAAACTTCATAACTCAGTGGCACCTAACAATAACAGAAAGTTATGGTGCTAGGCCAAGGGTCATGCCTCTGGTGGTTTGAATCCACTGGCTGCTCTACAGGAAAAAGATGAGCAATCTTTTCTTCATTTACAGCCTCAGAAAACCCATTGGAAGGCCAGTTGTAAGTTGGAATGGCAACAAGAATGAGTGAATAAATTTATCCATTGTCATTTAATTGACTCAAAACAAAATCCAAATCTGCTTGTGGAGTAGATCCCAGTTCATGGTGACCCTCCATCGGACTTCCCAGGCGGAATATCTTTTTGTGAGGAGACTGCCCATCTTTCTCCCTCGTATCGCCTGCTGGACAATGCATTAAGCCACCAGTTTACAGCTCTATTAGGGAGTTACATTCATCTATTCTCTACCCAATTAATTTCTTTACTAAAATCACAATTCAGGTACCCCCAGTTTGTGATGTATTTGAGTACCTGCTTGCCCATGTTTTATCATTAGTAATATGTTCTAAAATACAGTTTTGCAGCACATAGTTTGCTCTCAGATGGTTAAATTTCCAACTTTAAAGATTTTGATAATAAAAGACAACAGTGAGAAAAATGGAAAAAAAGAGGCATTAATGCCAGAATTAATTTACATTAAGAATCGTTCAAACAGAATTCCGATATAAGTTAGAGACTGCTTGTACTTTAAATATATATAACTTATATTTAAAATCCTTTAGGATATGCTACTAGGATATGTTCCTAGTTATACTATTCAAGCTGCCTCCCCTTCTTTCCTTCCCAATATTACCAATATCATAGCTTAGATACCTTGGTTAATTTCCAATGATTATTTATAATTACAACAACTTCAGAGCTGACATGTGAGGTGTTTCAAAGGTAGGCCAGTTTCTTTCATGGCTGGAGCTCGGGGGAATGGTGCTATCTTAGGTAGAGAACCCAACAGTTTTGCTGTTACCTCATTGGGTGATGATGAGTAAACCATTAGAATTCTCTGGCTCAAGTTTTTCTCATCTGTCAAATAAAGTGATTGAATTGGATGACAGCCCAACAGGCAAGCTAATACGGTCCAAACACTAGCAGTCAGACAATACTGATGTTGAGCCAGATGACTGATGATCCAAGAAATGTATTCTCAGGCTCTACCTTGTCTGGAGGACCATCTAAAGAATCATGACAATTATTCCCAAGGAGAATAGCTAGTTTAGGTTTCCAAGAACACCTGCAATTTTGGAGCTTTGTGTTAAAGTGTTGCACTCTTAGAGGTTGGTAACCAACACACCAAATTCCATCTGCAAGGGGATCTGGGCCAGTGAGCTTGAACCTTGGGCAGGTGAAATTTTTCAGCTTTTATGGGACAAATCTGAACACTTTGGAGCACTTGAATTTTCTAATATCTTTGTCATGAATATGCTTAATGGATAAACACATTCCTTAAATCAAATTATCATTGTAATTAGGTGGGTGTTTTATCGTGGCCACTCCAGCTGCCTTGGAGTTGATTCCAACATGTGTCAGAATAGACATGGGCTCCCCAGCATTTTCAACACAAGCCAGCTCGTTGTTGTCAAGGTGGACATGACTGAAAGCTGACCCTCCATCAGGGTTCTGAGGCTGTCATCTGCATGGAAGGATATTGCCCCTCTTTCGGGTGGATTTATTTTTGCCAGAAAGGCTCAACCTATGGGTTAGCTTCTTTTGTGCAAATTTTTATGGATTATACCATAAGAGCTCACTGTAGGATTCTCAGTAGCACATTCTTTGAAAGTGTATCACCAGACCTTTAATCTGAGTGTCTCTGAGTGTACTTGTATCTCCCACCTTTTGATTAGCAGTTGAGTGCATTGACCATTTGTATCACCCAGCAGCTGTGGATAACAAGTAAAGAAAACGGAGATTTGGTTTGCTTTTTTAAATTTTTTAAAAAAATTATTTCTTGGTTTTCAAAATAGACCAAGAAGGGAAAAAAAAAAAAAAGACAAGGAGAGAGTTAAAACCATTCTTTGTGTTTTATGGCTCGACATTTCACGGGAGCTTCTTCCAACGTGGCTCCTGAGTTGGTCTCTCTGTTTTCACACTACCAAGAAGGAAGAGGGTTTGGAGGCTGGTGGCTTTAAATGAAAGAATGAGGGTGTAGCTTGCCCATGACTCAGCATAGTGAAGTACTAAAGGCGCCATCTGATTACAGGAAGTAAGAAGTCCCAGCAAAAAGCAAGCTGTTTTGAACCTCAGCTTGAAATATAATGCCTGCCTTGATCTTGATGAGCTTGGGGCTTTTCACTCAGTTGCTTCAGTGCTCTGCTAGGGTGGGGGAAGCAACAGAGGAGAAGGAAGCAAGGGGGGGAACCCCCAA